TCGCCTTTCTACCAGCAGGTGGCAGTATTTAAATGAAAGTCCAGTTTGTGTCTCTGTTAACCGTTTTAAATCCAGGTTACCGATACAGATGCATTTATTGTTCTTCATTTCATTTGTTTTTTCATTATTAAGGATTAATTTGTAACCTAGTTACCATCTTCATTCACCCACAGCCCAGCGTTAAACCTGCATCCCCTTCTGTTCTAACCTGGTTCTGCTGTCAGCTTCTTAGCAGCTCAGGCAACAGACACATCAGAAATGTCCTAATATAGATCATCTGGCCAAAATAATGATTATATACAGTCTATGGTGGCGACCTAACGTACACAATCAGCGGCAGATGCCGCGGCATCTCAAGCTGCCACCTGAAATGCCACTGGTAGCTGCCGATGCCACTATGTGAGCGGGCCCCTGCTGCCAAATCATGATCTCAGCGTGGTGCGCCATTGAAATAGGATACAATAAAAGACCCAAACATTTCAATCTGAAATCATTTGTTCATATACTGTTCCGAATTAACCGAAGACAGTTAATTTGTGCTATGTACCATTGGATGTACTGACCACTGTGAGTGAATTACTTTGATACAGAAAAAATCTTAAACATTCTCAGGCAAGTTCGGAGGCGTTCCCATTCCTGTCCCCACACACGCATTCAGTGAGTTACACTGTGTAGCCTACTGCAAGTCGAGCCTCGTTTTTTATTTCCCAAAACACTAACGTAAAACCCATTTAACTTGTTAGTTGTTGTTCAAGCTCATCTTCATAAGCCTACATTAGCCTAAATCAGGTACCGCCGTCGCCTACCCGTTGCTGCTTGTTTATCAAGTGTAAAACACAAAATAACTTCCTTACAAATTCCAGTTTTTCGTTTCCTATTTGACTTGAGCGTGCTTTCTGACGACTCAAACCTAGAGACCAACAGTTGCTATGAGTCGTGAACTGATCAATTCTGTTTCCTGTGCTGACGGAGCCCATGCAGCTGCCGTGTGACGAGTGAACCGAAGAGTCCAAGATCCTTCACGCATGCGTGAAAATGAACGAATCACTCACTGAGACACACATTAAAGATAGTTACTGAAACAGCAGCGAGCTAACGATGTAGCACGTTGGCTAAATGCAGTAAATGTACCGTGATCATGTAACGAGCACGGATTAGTTCAACCTGCAGCTGATAAAACTATTACTGTAACGTTGCAGTGGGAGTTTACCTGAGTTTCCAGCTCTGTCTGTTCTCTCTGTCTGTCTATAGTCGCTGTCACTCTGCCTTTTTTCGGGAGGATTGTGCCGTATGCAGCTCGCTGCTGAATTAAGTAACGTTACGGCGCCGGTGTTGAGCTGCCTCTGAGACGGGAACGTTGAAGTAACAGAGCCTGAACATGTCTGAGTGAAAAGCCGCAGCCTGCATGCTGGTGTTTCTGCGTTTATTGACAGTGGTTGTGTTTTGGATTCTGCTCGCTCATGACTTCAAGCGAGCACGCGTACACTCACGCCTGGTTGCAATCTTAGAACCGCAGCGCTAGTGGCCGCTGAAAACTACATAATGCCCCTTTAATGTGGGTCAGTGATGTGAAAGCTGTCAGTTAAAGTGTGTCAGAGTGAGGGTTTGTTTGTGTTTCACAGGTGAATAATGATGAAGATGAAGATGATGGTGTGGTGAACTATGAAAACGATGGAGACCCTTCTGCCTCTGTCAGACTCCACTGATCAACAACTTCCATATCAACATCAGCTCATCAGAGAAAAGACTCCACTGCAGTTAAATACAGCACATTTACACGAGTAGTTGAAGCCTTTAGAGAACTGTTGAGAAGATTTCTTAAGGTGCTTTGTTTATGTAACAAGGAAAGGTCAGACAGGTCTAGCTTAGAGTAAAGCCTAGTTCACACCACACAGTTTTAAGCCCGATTTGCCGCTCGGCGACCGTCAGGCTGTGATCAGGGGTAAATCAGAGATCGATCGGCGGTCGCCAGTCGTTATGTGTGAACTACTCAAGGACGCGTCAAAACGGCTTCCCGACACATTTCTGACACATCGCAGACGCCAGCCAGATATCTAGCATCCAAATCTGGAACATTCGGCCGACTCGACATCCACATCCAGCCAATGAGAGCAGGCAGCTACTTTTCACCGCGAAACACTTTTTACTCCCCTCCAGCTCTCTGTAGCTCAGACGATCCCTGCTACCTGCCTGTGCTAATCCTTTCTTTCACCCAGAGTCTTTCTCTTTATAATAACAAACAGCTTTTGTCTGTAGGTTCGCCTCATTTCCCGTTTCACATTTCACGTGTGTTTTCTTGACAAACCTGGTTTAGAGACCAGCGTCGGGTGACACAGCCGCTGTCAGCTCGTGTAGTGTGTGACCCCCTGTCACCGATCAGTCAGGTAGTGTGAACGCCACGACGACTTCAAGACTCACGTCACAAGGCGGCAAGTTGTGCAGTGTGAACAGCACGGCCATCGGCCGACGCTGAAAGTCGTGTCGTCTGCGTGAGCCTTAATTTAGCTGACCCCATAAGTGTTTTCTGACCTTCTAGCTCGAGGTATTTCTCACACGTCCTTGTCAGCGAGACAACAACAGACTGATTAGGTAGAGTCAGTAGCTCATGCGTCAGGCTAGCAGATATCGGTGTTCTCCGGTAATCATACAAGGTTGAGTCCTACAAGAATGTTTCCAAGAACCTGCTGGCTCCACAGGTTAGAGCACAACTCATGGGTAGTGACAGATTCCAACATGATGAAGCACTGGAGTCTAAACATCAGATAGATGAGTTGTTCTGGGTTAAGGCCAGTTAAAGATGAGCTAATAGGGAAACCTACAGGCACTAGGGGGAAGACAGAAACATAAAAGGGACCAAAAGATGTCATCCTTCAGATTTGGTGTTGGCATTTGATGTGTTCACATGTTGTATGCTGGCACTGTGTCTCCTCGGCCGGGCTCAATAAACCATGCTATGTTAAGTCTTCATCAGTCTCTGAAACTTCTTCACACCTGAACCTGGCTCACAGTATTTCTTCAACAATAACAAAAATCTCATCAGATCAGTTTTAGGTTTTTATTACTGATTGTTTTTGTTTTTATTTATCAGTGTGAGAATGTTTGTGTTTTGTGCTCAGCTGTTTCTGTTTCAGTCTGACTTTGAACAACAATATTCAAGTCTTGATTTCATCTCATATCAGGAAGCCCACTGTGAGTTTTATAAAATGTCTTTTCCTGCATCAGTTGTGAAAATCTTTATTTTCTGCAGCCAGTTCAGAACACAGCAGCTGGATTTCAGCTTCATTTAACAGGAACGAGCATTTAACTCTGCCTCTTAAAAGGAAGTTTTTCCTTGCCTCTGTCGCCTAGTGCTGCTCTTGGGGGGAACTGTCGGGCTTCTGTAAATAGCATCACAGAGTACGGTCTAGACCTGCTCTTTATGAAAAGCGCTGTGAGATAACTGTTGTTTGTGATTTGGCGCTATATAAATAAAATTTAATTGAAATGGTGTGTGGAGAGCTGCCCCTGCTGTGTCTCGGCTGTGTGTGTGAGAGACTATGCAGAGGATGATAAGGCGAGGATTAAAGAAAAACATATATATGAATAATAGAAACATAAATAAAGAAGGAAAAAAATATATATATAAATGAAGAAATAGAGAGGGGAAATTTGGTCAAGGGGAAAACTGTGTTATGAAATTTGTTAAAGTTATTGATTAATGCTGCTGTATGGTTTGGGTCATTTCATAATCAGCAGTTGGGGTTTTTCTTAGCGTAAGTTACTTTTTGGGAAGTGCACATTTGTTTTTTCTTTATTTTACGTGCATTTCATTTGGGGTTTTTTATGTGCAAATACACTTTTCTACAGGCATTTTCATTGGTATTGAACCACAAGCTATATTTCAAAACGTTTTTTAACAGAGTAAGCTTTAAATAGGAGTGAAGAGTAGTGTCCCCAGCATCCCCAGTGTAAATGACACCGATGTTCCTTAGCTTGAATGTGAACGTAATTGATGCTGAACTCCTTGATGTAATAAACTTTTATGATCAAGAACAGTGTCAAGCGGATTTCTTCTCAACACATCATCGCAGCATTATTGTTCGGATACCACAAGACATACACGGTTTGGCACCAAGTTACACACAATATATACAAACAAAGAAACATGTACTCTATTTCTTGGAAATATTTCACATAAATTCCACTAATGCCCAGATCTCAGGAAATGTGTTAATCCTCCTATTTTTACCTCTCTTTGGTTTGGGTTAAACCTAGTTGAGTTCAAAATAATTTCCAATTTAGGATCCTTTAAGTTGTTATATAGTTCCTAATTTTCTCATTGAGTTAAATCAGCTCTAAATTCTCATGTTATCTTAGTAAAGCTTGATAAGACAGAGTCTGTCGAGTCGCTCTGCCCTATCGAAAAATGCTACCTTATGTTTCTAATCCCATAAAGTTATAACTCTTTTTTATTAAATTTATTTAATATTTATACAGTATTATGACATCTTCA